ATGCTCTGCCAAATGATCATCTGGTATAGAAATGTTGAAGGTATGGTTTCTGTTTTTCTTTTAAAAAGGGAAAGGAAATCATTAAGGGAAAAACATGTTGCAGGTCTGTAACAGAAAAAACATTTTATGTGGCTTAAGTATGTGCATTGATGCAGAAGTGGTGCAGTACATATTTTTCTTGGAATCCCTTGCTTTTAAACTGACTTACTTACATAAAATCCATAAAATCACATTTTAAAAAGCAGCATACTCAGCTTTGTTGTAACAAAAGCTTGGTTATATACTGGAAAATGTACATAGCAATGATACACTATCAATGATTTGCTGTCAGTGTTTCTTTCCTAATGGCTGTTCTTCGGAGATATAAAATGGTACATAAAATGTGAAGGCAGAAACAGTCTGATTTTTCTCTCCCCCTCTTTTGCAAATTTTTTCTTGAAGTTTATGGAGTACTACAAAGTATTATATTCTGTCAGCTGTTGCCTGTAGCAGACTGCAGCTTCTTTATAGCATATATGGCTAATGGAAGTTCCAAAAAGTTCTGGAAATTCCAACTAATTATATATATTTTTTCATATGGAGTGGAACGTAATCAGTACAATACTGCCTTGTGACACCTCTGGATTCAACATAGGCATCAGTGACAAAGTACGAGCACTCTGCAAATCCTGAGAAAAAAAGGGACCTTTCTTCCATTAGTGGAAATCTCAGAACTGCATGTTATAAAATCCAAAGGAAGAGGAAGAGGTTTGGGAGGGTCTGCAAGGTTCCCATAGGGAGCTGGAGCCTGAAGGCTGAGCTACAGAGGAAGATAATTTCTTGCATTTGCCTGCTCTGCTTTCCATGACAATCTCTTGGTGACTGTTTTTTATCCACTTTCCTGAAGTCAAGGCTGGAACCTGGATTTAGGACGTATGTGCTGAGGTACATCAAAGTAGCATTACAGTTTGTTTTATTTCCTAACTAGCTGTAAAGTCTGTTGCTTGTTTTGACTGGCTGTCCTTGAGTACAACCAGGAATGTGACTAAACAGCACTGCCATTTAGCATATTAGTTGTTCTCATATAATTGAGATCCAATTGGAAAGGAAATTAAAATCATGCTGTTTATATTTGGAGAGTGGTGTGAAGTTTTAGAGCGATTGTTTTTTACTTTGTTGCACTGGGCTTTGTCCCTAAGGGAAATGGCAATCTCTGATGCTATCTGCTATACGCAAAATAGTAGAAGTCAGTGATTTCAAAATTTTTTTGAAGCTTTTCCATCAGACTTCCCGGAACTTGCGAAGTGGGCTTTGGTTTTAGTGAAACCTAAAATGGGACAAAAAGAATGGAGAAGTGTGGTGTATTGTGTCAAATCCTTGCTTGACACAAGTTTGATTTCTCTGTTTTAGAAACAGGGAATTCTCAGGTCTTTCCTTAAATCACCAAGGGCTACAACGAGTCAGAATAACTTTCTATCTTACAAGCTGGCCATCTTGGTTTAGAAAGTCACTTTTACAGTTATACTTTTATAGTTACTTTCCTAAAGAAAGTTTGAATTGTATTGCTTACTTTCTTGTTTTAGTTTGCAAACCATGCAGACATACTACAGCTGTGTTCATATAAACATTGTATAATTCAGCAAAGTGCTACTTGGATTTTTACATTTCTAAATATGTTAGAAAATGTCATCAGTTACATTTATTTACCAGCTGGGGGTTAATTTTTTGAGTCATAGTGCTGAATCTGCATGAATATTAAATTCTGTTGTGGAGATCAAAGGCAAGTAGATATGATGCAACCACATTGCCTCTTCCCGCTTCCCTACTTGTGTACTGCTGGCTACAGAGGACAGGATTCCTCCATCATCCTTCAAGTGGCCTCTCTGTGCCTCCAGAGGAGGTCCTGCTCTCAGAAGTCAGCTTAGCACTGCAGCAAGCTGTGTTTGCAGTTTCTGAGCCGGTTCAGTGGCACGACTTACTTGCATCTAGGGAGCAAATACAGACTGACTGCATGTTTTGCTTCAATGATATTCTTTATTGAACAGCTGGTAGTGAGTTAGGCCTTTTTATCATTATGATTTCAAACTGACTTTGGAGTAGCATTTTAAGAATTTAAATTTAAATTACAAAATTAACCATGAAAATGTGATGGAAATAATAACATATTGGTCTCGCTTCATTCTACCTCTCTTCAGCTGCAGTTTAGGGTTTTGTTCTAGAAATCATCAGATGACTTCAGAAAGGCTCCAGTAGGCAGGACATAGTCTTCTTTTTGCCCTGTCTTTGCATGCAGTTGACTTCATTTGCATGCAGGTTTCTTATGTGTTTTCTCAGAAGACATGGAAAACCTTCCAGTAGAGTGCAGGCTCTTTGGAAGAGCGAGAAGCTATCTCATTTCATACTCAGAGAGAGTGCAGTGGTTACATGTCTGTTGCTACTGCTGCTTTGCCACAAGTGTTTTAGGATAAAAATGCTCATGCTTGGGGTTCAGCTGAGATTCTCTGTCTTACTCCAGGCCTATAGGGAAGTCTTAGCCTCTCAGAACTTCAGAAAGTTGGGATATGATTTTATGTTGGTTTTAGTGATACAAGAAATGAAACCTTTTTCAGTTTCTGCAGAACACTACCAGATAATAAAAGTTGGATGAAAAATTCTTATTTTCTGAAACAAAATGTATAGATAATGTATATTTGTCTTATTATTTCCAATACGTGGACTCACAGCTGAGTTGCTTATGCGTTTAGTTATATACATAACCTCTGTTTCTGAGTTCAGATGCATTAGTTTTTATATGTCCAGTATTCAGAAGAGTAACTTAAATGCTCTGGATGAAGCTTCTTCAAGTATTAGAATTCATAAAATTATATATCAAATTTCTTATTGTCCCGATTTACTGTATGTAAATCCATAATCAAAACAGAGGTACTTTATGTTGAGCCAGCAAGTTGAACAGCAGATGAATGGATTCACTCAGAGGTGATTACCACTAAATGGAAAGGAATTTCACAAATTTGAGAAGTAATGTGAGAAAACAATAGTTTTACAAAATCTGGATGGAGCTACTTTTCCTAGATGTCAACATTTAGTGCTTCCTCCTCTGGGCATAAATTGCATTGGATTTGTCATTTATTAATTTTGCAGACTGCAAGAGAAGAACAGCATATTAATTTTAAACTACATCAAGGTTAGGAAACTAGATATCTGTAATAAGTCAAGCATGAGATATATTTGGTAAGGAGGTTGGTCTGTGAGCTCTATTATGTCATCAGTTGCTGCCCAGTCCTACTTGAATGAGTACAGACTATTCTGTCTGCATTTAGCTTGTGCTATTGGACCTCCAATAAATAAAGTGTAGGACTGTCTTGACAAAACATCCCATGCAGAAGCCAAAGGAGTTGTCCAAGTTTGGGTGGGCTGCTGATGTCAGAAAGGAATGCGCCCATTGGATGTGGGGTGAAAAGCAGATTCAGGGAACTTACTTGGAAGTGTTTGTGTTGGCTCAGTGCTCAGACATTCCTCCTCCTCCTTGCACTGGTTCCCAGCTGTGCTTCTGCCAGTCTTACCAGCTTCTTTAGGAATGTTCCTCAGGGTTCTCTTTGCTGCTCTCATAGATGGCCATACAGAAACTCTTCATCAACCCTTAATCAAGCAAGTCTAGGCTCCTTTTATGTGTTCACTCTGTTCCACTCAAGTTTATACTCAGATGTTGTGACCTTCAAGCTATAAGTAGGGCCCAGGAATACAGAGAAGCCGTTAAAAAGGGGTATAATAGATTTGCTGGAATCTTGAACAGTAGTTCTCTCTCTTCATTTATTATTATATTTTTAGGGAGATTTGGGGATGTTGTTTGTTGGTTTTGTTTGTTTGTTTTGTTTTTTGTTTTTTTTACAATGTATCTTAGTGAAAATATGATTTTCTGCACTTGGACAGACTGATCCTACTTCTAGCACTCAATAAATCAGTGTACTCATGACATCAGTTGTAAAATACCCTGTTTCTTAGTTAAATATCTGTATTGCTTTAAAGGCTTTGGAACTGAAAGCCTTAATAGTGTTTCATCTTTCTACCAAAAAAAGTCTTCATGTGCTTTTAACATTAATAACAGAGATAATTTACCGTCCTCTGGCAGGTTCCTGGCTTTGCAGAGTCATGCTTTCTTCGCACAGGAACTCAGGTTACAAAACCTCAGTGGCAGAAGCCTGTACAGGTGGTGTTTCACTATGGCTGGTGTTTCAAAGCCCAGGTTGCATCTCTGCAAAGTGGGAAGGCCAGCCACAACTTGCTGGGCTGGTGTAACTCTTGGGTGTCCTCTGTCAGAAGCAGTCTGAGCTATACTGGAAGGCTAATACTTCCACTCATGTGAAACTATTGGCTCTGGCAGCATTGTTGTTGTTGTAGGTCTGTCCATTGACAGCACCTCCACAGGTGAGTAAAACTCTCTGTGTTTCCATTGGCAACAGGAGGGGTATTGGTGGCCTTTGTCACCATGGCTTAATTTTTCCTAGAAACCTCTAAACCCTGTAGTGTCAATAAATTCTGTTTTGTTGCAGCTTAAAATGTGTGAATCTTCTTGATGAAATCAGAGTCCTATATTCCTTATGCAGACTTTAATTTGAAAATGTGGAAAAATAAATAACTTTCATAAAAAAGATCATGAAATGATCAGCCAGTAGCTTCTATAATTGAAAAACCCATCCCTTGGAACAGTCTTAGCATGTTTTTTTAGCTTAAATTCTAGGTAGGTTTGTATTCCTTGCTCAAATCAGTTACTGGTTTTGGGGGGTTATTCTCTGTCTGGTTGCCATCTTCTGCTCAAGTTTCAGCAGAGACACATGTCTATCATATGTAAAACAGGATTTCTAGGATGATGAATATTACATGCCTGAAAGTATGTACTTTGCAATTGGGATGCATTGATGCTGTTAAGGTGTGATGAGCAGAGAAAATGTTGAAATTTCACTTGTTTACATGCTCTCTTCGTGTATTTTTTTGATGATAATTTTAAAATGTTCCATTTTCAGGTGACAATGGCCAAAATTGGGATAAATGAGAGTCGTTCAAAGGAGACCTGTGAAACAATACTTTTCGCTCTTCGAATGGCAACGTGGAATCAGATTTTAGATCCCTGGGTGTACATTCTTCTCCGGAAAGCAGTTCTTAAAAACCTGTACAAGATTGCAAGGGGATGTTGTGGTGTGCACATCATAAACTTACACATGTGGGAACTCAGCTCCATCAAGAATTCTTTGAAGGTTGCAGCAATATCTGAGTCACCAGTAAGTTCCAAACAAATAAACCTACAGCCGCTCAGCAATACAGGGAATTAAACACAATGTATGGAGAGATGATGGAGGCAGCTCTCATGCATGGGCAACATGTTAAAATTAATTCCAAGGCTCCGTGTTTGGCACTTGTTTAAAATCTTGAGCGGTTTGCTCTTGCTACTAACCGGTTTGATATCGCTACTCCGAAAGATGCACTTGAATGTTTTCCCTTTAGAATACATTCTGTCCAAAACTGGTAGTAGAGTGATGAATCGTCCTGTATTCCTCTTTTCCAGGTATTAAAGTGAACAGGGTTCCTTATAACACTCCCCTACCAAATCCTTTACCTTAGCAGGCTTCTTAAGAACACATGCAATTGTGAAAGTCATCTCCAAGGTCATTTTTAAAAGGGGTAGATTTTATCTACCAGTGATACCCTCAGATATTTTGCAGAGTAACTGCTTCCTAGGGTGAACTCCAGCATCCTTTCCCTAAGGGTATTCTTTGCTTTTAGGCATTGAATTTCCAGTTAGATATATAAAAGGCATTTTGTTTGTGCTCAACTTATTAAATGATCAAATTTGCATGGTTCATTGACTTGACCTCTTAATTATTTACTGTTTCATGAATTTTTGGGAGAGCTGCAGACTTCATCAGCTTAATCATTCCTTTCAAATCACTGACAAACCATGAAGTTCCTTGTGGGAACATAGCAGATCAGCTCAGCTTGCTTGAAGTTACATTTTCTGATCTATTGGTGAGTTTTTAGTCCTTTCAACAAATTTTGTTGAAACTAACAGGCATAAAGCTGTGGTTAGTCTGTAAACAATATAGTTGTTTCATTTTTTCAACTCCCAAACTGGAGGAAGTATCTTGAAGTGTTCCTGTAAGGCATATACTGTATTGCTCATGAGGTATATGTGCTTCATTTGTAAAAGGTCACACGTGTCTCATGAAAAATGAGTGCGACCAAATGAGCATCTCTGCAGGGAACTGCACTGGGGGTGTGTTGTTTTGTTGGGTTTTTTTGGTGAAAACAAATGGCACACTTAGTTTTTCAGGGTCTGTGTCTGAATTGCTGAGGGTATTCAGTGTATTTAAAGGGATCAGAAAGTTTCCAGGACTTTGCACAGGAGGACCTTCACCTTTAATGCTGCTAAAATGAGCTTTGATTTTTGTGACTGTATTCTTGTTCAAAAACAAAAATAAGAGTATCAGACTTGTAGCAGAGGGATTGTTTTAGGACAGAAATGTCTATGTTATTTTTACCTGCTTTAAATAACTGCATTAGTGAATTGTTGGAGTATTTTGACAAAGTACTTAAAAACTGATTCACCAGGTAGTCTGAGGGACCAAAGCTATTCACAAGGTACAAATTCATGTTGTATGTGAGAATAGTTTAAGGCAGAAAATAAAAAAACCAAAGGGTTTAAATATTTCATTTTTGGTTTAAAAGCTATTTCCTTTTTGTTTTAAAAAGGTTGAAAAATAAGTGGGTTAAATAACCCTTTAATGAAATGAAATGGCTTCATTTACCCTAAAGAATTTCTATATGTGATTTATTTTCTCAGTCACAGAGCTGATAAACCGTGGACAGATTTGATGCTGGTATAAGCTCCACACTGTTGCTTCAAGTGGGTTCTGCTGAATAGTGAAAGCATCCAGTCAATGTTAAGTTTGGCATTTTCATTTCACAGAATGTGATGCCAGTGTATCTGTTGACATAAATTATTTGTTCTTTATGGAAGATTGTTGTTTTAGCAGCTGCAAAAATAATGCTGGTCTGTAAATTGTTGAGATGTTTGATCGGTGAATGAAGCTCGTCAATGTTTCCTTTTGTTATGTGAATAAATGTAGCTTGTGTAGTTCATGCTGGTTGACTTGTAAAACAAAAGTTTATATGTATATGTGATTTCTTATATTTTGTGTACTAATACATATTGAATGTAAATTGCAAAGCCTCATTAAAGTTATCAAACTGTATCTTCAAGTGTTATGATATTTTTGTGTAACAAAAGAGACCTGAAGTTGTTAAAAATAATCCTCTTGATAAAACCCCTCACACTGGACTTAAGCCAGCCACTGCCATTCATACATACAATATCAGTTGTGAAGGTAGAGAAGAGGACAGAATTCAAATAGGAAGTGCCATTGTTCATACTCTTCATTGCTACATGAGCAGCCCAGTGCAGTCGGTGGTCTAAGGCTGACAAAGTCAAGTTCTGATGAACCATGCTTAGGAAAAACAAGCAAAAGTGGAGCCAAGGGGAATTTGGTGTTTGGGATGGAGGTGCCTTTCTCCAAATATCTGCCAACATGTTAGACTGATTAGGTTCACATACATGCTGAATCAAAATAAGCGTGACCAGCAGGTCGAAGGAGGTGATCCTGCCCCTCTACTTTGCTCTTGTGAGACCTCACTTGGAGTATTGTGTGCAGTTCTGATGTGCTCAACATAAAAAAGACATGGAACTGTTGGAACAAGTCCAGAGGAGGGCCATAAGGATGATCAGGGGACTGGAGCACCTCCTGTATGAAGATCGGCTGAGAAAGTTGGGGCTGTTCAGCCTGGAGAAGAGAAGGCTGCGTGGAGACCTCATAGCAGCCTTCCAGTATCTGAAGGGGGCCTACAGGGATGCTGGGGAAGGACTCTTCATTAAGGACTCTAGTGATAGGTCAAGGCGTAATGAGTTCAAGCTTAAACAGGGGAAGTTCAGGATAGATATAAGGAAGAAATTCTTTCCTGTTAGGGTGGTGAGGCATTGGAATAGGTTGCCCAGGGAAGTTGTGAATGCTCCATCAATTCAAGGATGGAGGAGTGCTCCATCCTTAAACACTGGCAGTGTTCAAGGCCAGGTTGGATGAAGTCTTGTGTGACATGGTTTAGTGTGAGGTGTCCCTGCCCATGGCAGAGGGGTTGGAACCAGATGATCTTAAGGTCCTTTCCAACCCTAACTATTCTATGATTTGATGATTCTATGAATTGTGAAAAAACGTGAGTTTTGCTCTTAATACTTTGTCATTGACATGGTAGCCTGCAGAGGCAGCTGAGGATACAATCACCCAATGGTCTGTTGCCACTGAAAGTGATTTGATTATCGTGTTTCATTTCAGGAGAGCCAGCGTGCTGCGTTGTATGATTAGCAAATTATGTGTTTTATGGAATATGAAATTATAAAAAAAAAACAACAGCAGGACAGCTTCACACTAGGATCTGAGTATTGCCCAGGCAGGGAGGAAAGGGCAGTCTGCTTAGCAATATGCTGATGATCTCTTTAGAGGTTGGCTAACGATGCGAGCAGTTATGAGCTGCCTATTTTCTGCTAGGCAGTAATTAGTGTCTCAGGAACAGGCAGGGGCACTGAGGGTTCTGGTGGGAAGAAAGTGAATCTCATTTCTGACTAATGACCAAGCAAATCCTCAGGGTGGGAGGATATTTTAATCTAATCGGGATCTTAAGCAATGGCAGGCTATATAAGAAAGTGTGTTATCCTAAAATGAGGTCCTGTTCTGAATCAACCTGCTAAAGCAAAGAAAGCTCAGTAACAAGTTGCTTCTCACAGGATTTAGGCAAGTATCTGTAGTTTTTTATCTAGACACAGAGATGGAGAGCAAGGTTAAAGGTTATTTTGATCTGATTCTTGAGGTAAAGTGTCCACCTGCTGTGTTTTTTTTTTCAGATACTTGTATGTAAGTCGTTTTATTATTTTAGACGGATGTTTTGGGAACGATTTCAGGAACAGCAATATGTACCAGTTCCATACACATGGTGATCTTTTAGTACAAGATGTTGGGACCTTTCAGATGCACCTTGCCTGCTGATACATTCCTCTAGGATGTTCCTGGTAACACAGAACACTGTTGTTTAACTGCATAGATTGGCATGAGTTTTAATTCTCAGTGCTTAGGTCCTGGGAAAAGTGCAGAAATCCCAAGGGAATTTGCAGCACTTATCATGACTTTTGTTGCTTCCTAAAGTACCCAGCTGCTTTTCAGTTTAAACTTCTGTGATCTGCCACCATTAAAAGTGGTAAAACTGGTCATTGATTTCAGCAAGCAATGGCTTTCAATTTAATCTCTCTGCATTATATTTAGGAAAGTATTAACAACTTGAACAATGTTTTCCTGATGAATGTGATTCAATTTTAATACTAAGAAGTCTTAAATACCACTAGTGTAATGGTATTCCAAAGGTGAGATAAAAAGGGGCTATTTGAATAGTTGCATTATGTATTTTTGAGATAACCTTGAGTTTACTGCTTTTTGATGAGGAATAGGTAAAAGGGAAAAAACCAAACACCCACCACAATTATGAGTTCCAGTACCTGTGGGCCATCAGATAGTATTGAGTGTGTATCTCAGGTGGAAAATATTACACATTAGTGCTATGTTGATTGGTTCAGTAACAGCATGCTTTTTATTCTCATATAAATGACTTTTCAAAGGTGGGTTGCTCTTTACCAGTGGATGCTATGATGTGGGGAGTGGTGGTGACAGGTATTGTGTACCTTGCAGCTTGTCTCAGACACTAGAGCTGGGTAAACAATGTGGAAAATACCAGATTTGATTCTCTTAAGTGGAGCAACCCCAGGTCACTTTCCTGTGAGAGCAGTACATCCAGTTGGATGCTTTGGAAGGAGATCTTTTTCTGTTATAAATACAACAATCCAGACTGTCAAGTAAGTGATCCCCACTACACCAAAATATTTGCCAGGCTGCTGTTAGATCACCTTCTTCGCCTGATGTGGTGCTTTTGGAGCAAGCTGGTTGAACGACAGCTGGGAGGATGAGGAGTCTGACCTCATGCTCTTCTTGTTGCCCTTGCACTGGTTTTGATGTTTGAATTACCATGAGTAAACTGAACTTGCAAAAATGGCAAAAAAATGAGTGCAGCCGAAGAGGGAGAAGCTGTTCACAGGCATAATGAGTCAAACTGCTGTATGCTGCAGTGGCAGAACTTTTGCAAGAGCGGAGCAAGGGTAGCATGGGGGAAGGTATATCAGTGGGAGGGAAAGGCAGTAATGCCTCCCTTGCTGAGGAGCTGTTAATTTTACTTAGCTGTTTTGTGAACCCGTGCCCTTGGTGGGAGGAGACCAGGCTGGTGAGCAGGACCTACTGTAGGATTCTCAAATAAAGCCTCACAGATTCATTAACTAATGCTTTCATCAGGCTTTTCCAAGCTTTCCTGATTATTTAAACTGATTAGGTCACAATTTTTTTGGGCATGAAGGCTGAAAAAGGCCATGGGTGTTGCAGTTTTCCCTCTATCCATTTTTTGTTCTTCTCTGGTAAGTATTAATCCATACTTTTTCTCATTTTTGCTTTAGTAGGGTCTGGCAAATCAAAAGAGATTTGCAGTCTGACTCTTACATGGGCGGTGCTTTACTTTTATGCAAATAGGTACAATATACACCTGTGAGCCACAGTTTCTGGCTCAAGTATCTTAAATGCTATTTCTCAGTACAAATGTTTTTTAATAGGTTTCCTTTTCTGACAGAGTTAGGGAGTGTGTGAAGAGGATCTAATCCTAGTGGAACAGCAGATCATAGGTGTGAGTGTTTCCAGCTGTTGTCTATGCTCCTTCCAGTCTCAAAACAAAGGTTTTCCTTTTTTTCCATCAAATTTCTTATGTATCTTCATAATAAATATATATATTTTTATACATATATTTAATAAATATATGTATTTAGGAGAGAAATACTAAAGGAAAAAGTCCCATCCAGCTCTGGAGAGATATAGTAGCCTGACAACTTTTTAGGGGTGATTTATGTTTAGAAAGGGTGCAATTGAGGAATAAATCCATTGGTGGAAACTTAGGGATTTGATCAGAACACCTGAAAATTGTGCAAAGCCAAGACCATTAGGTCTTACTCAGTACAATTTATGCGTAATGAATAAGAAAACAAACAAAAATATTTGCAGCATGTTACAGGAAGCATTAATAACACAAAAATACCAAACATCTAGTCAATCACAACTGTTTGATACCCTTCTCATGTAGAGAAAAAGGCTTCCTGGGAACATTTGAGCAACTCCAAATGATGATACTTTAAGAACAAATCTATTTATCTCACTTGTCCCTTTTTTCTGCTGCCTCCTGTAAACAAGATGACGTTTGAAGTGACTGGACAATGGTTAAATATTAAAAATATAATTTTGAATGCAGTTTTTAAAAATTGTTTATAATTAGGATAAGCTAAACAGTGACACAGATATACTCAGGACTTTATTTCTTAGCAACATGTTCAAGGAGTCTTTAAAAAATTCCTGTGGTTGCAGGAATATAAACACGTATCTGTCTTGCTGTTTAATCTCAGCACCATGGTTGCAAAATAAATACTTGCTACAGGAGTTTGCAAAGATAAATCCATTTCACTTTTCTAAAATCTGTTGCCAGCATGGGATTGACAAATTCAAATACTTGAGGCAAAAAAATGTTATCAGTAAAACACTGCTACCAATTCGCTACCATTCCTGGCAACAGTTTGTGTGTTTGTACCTTCTGAAAACAGCAGAAAAAAATACTTTAGATTCCTTTATCAATTATAAATTCAGATATTTGTAATCCAATAACATTTCTTCACTGGACTGCATGTTTCAGTCTTATTTTTGATTCGGACACACTGAAGGCAGAGCAGTTTGGAAGTGAGGGTGCCAGTAGGAGAGCTTTCAACAGTCTAGGTCAAAGCAGCCTGGTACCTTAGAGCAAAACTTTTGCAATGACACTTGGACAAGTGACAAAATCCAAATTCCATTTCAGGATTCAATTTTTTTTATTTTTATAATCCTAATGAGCAGTGGCTTCTAGTAACTGCTAGGGTGCCTTAATTTGCATCCATTAAGCTCCCCAGGTGTCTGAAATACCGTATGCTATCTATCTCCTGTTCTTCCAGGTCTGTGTAACACAGTCATGGGGGAAGATGAAGAAGGCTGAACTTTAATTCATGATTAGCTATTCAACCCCCACTTCCTAAACGGTAATCTG